GCATATGCACTCCAGCCTGTCATAAGCAGGCACCTAGATTATAGTAATCGCTATATAATACACTTATATAAAATAGTATTAACATTAATTCCTCGTTAACGAAATTCTCTCCCCAAATATCAAAATAATCATTATCAAATAGACAATCAAAACAATCTTCTACGCTACGCTATTCTCATACATCATTAGTAGTTTTACTAAATTTTGATTTTGTAGTTGATAGAATAGTAGTTGACTTAAATTTTCACTTCTTTCCTTTTTTCTTTCTATTTGAAAATAGTATCCGTATAGTAAGTAGCAACATAAGCACTTATTTATTTATATACCATTATATTAGTATCGTTGAAAGTTTTTCAATATTTGTAAGGAATTAAATACATCGTGTTAATTTAATTGAAATTTTCTTTTTTGATAGTACTAAAGCTGGTATTAATTTTAACGATTATATTCTCTTTAATATTTTATTTAATTAGGTAAGTATTATACTTTTCTAATTCGTTTTCGAAGAGTTTTTCTTCGTCGTTACTAGTTACTTCGTTTCTCAATTAATTACTAATATCAGCGCTATTAGTATTGTTTGCGTTTGTTAACTTGGTTGGGTCCGTAGGGTTGTCGATAAATAGTGTAGGAGGTTTGATATTGTAGTTAAAGCGGATGAGGTTTTTCTTAGTTGTAAGAATATGTTCCTTTATTTACCTCATTATGAAATAGTGTGCTAGTGTTAGCAGTAGAACTTAGTGAAATATAGGTCCTTCTTTAAGGAGTTAATTATTTAATTAGGTATTGCTATTAACTAAACGCTTAAAGACTTTATACTAGTTGGGTTGGTCTTTAAGAGACTTTAAAACAATAAAAATTGCTTTGTTAGTAGTTTCTTTCGAGAGTAATATTATAGGAGAATATTAGTAGTAGTTATTTAATGATTAATGAAATTTTTATTGTTGCGCTATTATTAATACGCAAATTAGATTGTTAATTGTCAGACTGATCGTGTATAATTGATTGATTGAGTGATCTATGTGTGCGACTGTACTAAAACGTTGGAAGGTGTTGGAGATACCCAGAAGAGGGTCCCTAGTAGCCAGAAATCAGGTGGTTGGGAGGCTAACCTCGAAATGGCTAGCCATAAATCCCCTTATAAATCTGATACAGCTTTCCCACTCCGAGTCCTCTCCAGCTTTTCCCGGAACGTTTTCCCAGGCGGCGGGCTCGCAAGACAATTAAGCCGCCTGATACCCGCCGCGGGAGGTGAGAGGGGTCGCCGCAAAGCTAATCCAAGTTAACTTTTGCTAACGAGTAAACCAGAACAGGCCGCTCCAAACCGTTCCCATACAGTTCCGGTTGCATCGAAATAATGGGAATATCCTCAATCTGCCAGCGCGGGGCATGCTACTTCCATCGTCGGTCCTATCGCCACGGCTCGTTTGTTCCGACCAAGATTGGGACCTCGCTCTGTGGTGATGTCATCATCAGATCAAGGACGCTTTGCCTACTTGCGCAGAAAACCCCGATATAAAAGAATTAGCCGGCGGCTGGGCCGTCAACGTCGCGCCGTTGGCTGCCATTGATATTTGTAGCAAGAGGAGGATGTCAAAAAGGGATTCCGTGTCCTGGGTTCTCCACCCGTTACGATGTTCTTCTTCCAAACCCCGATTTGGTCAATGTCAACGCATCTCTCGCCGTGACGGCTCCACAAGCTTGGAGCAGTTTGCAAGTTGCTGAGGGCAAGTTCTGACAGTCAGCCTACCTTGTCTTGAACATCGGTTCATGGATGTGACGAGAGCTACACAGGTGAGACAAACGTAGGACCGCGGGTGTCTTCCAGACCGCAATCCAGGCATACCATGTGTCAAGGCCTATCACCTGGCTTCTCTTGTCTTTTTCCTCTCCTCCAGCAGCAACCCACATGTCACATGAAGAGAAGTGTTCTTCCTTACTAGTGCTAAGCATAGCAATGCACGCATGGCCTCTCCTGAAGCGACCTGGACCCTCGCTGTCCCAAGCTCCCGGCAGGATGGGTCCTCCGGTCTTGGCAGCCCGGTCTAGAATGGAGCTCCCCAGATGAGCACACGTGTCGGATTGATGCGGCATGCAGGTCGTCCACATGTCTTTGGGGGCCGCCGCGGTGTGCGGTCACAAAATGGATGGTCAAGAGGGCAGTCAGGGAAGATGTGATTTGATTCAGGTTGATTACCTGCCTCACCAGCTTCTTGAAGCAACAAAAACCGCACGGTTACAGAACTCTCTCGTCGGGTATATTGCCGCAGCCGTCCTGATCTCCGGAGACCGCCGTGTGGATAAGCGTTAGTTCGGGGTCCACCGCGTCTTGTCTTGATACGGGAG